TTTTAATTTGTGGTCCTTGGTTTATGACCTTGAAATTGAGCTCAAGGTCATAGGTAAATTTAACGTTCTAGATTTTGACCTTTGCTTTTACCTCATATGTATACATGATAAAGCCAAGGGACTTTTTGCATTAGGTTGCAAGCAATGTGACATTGAAAAAGTCAACCGGAAGTGACCTTTTGTAAACCGGAAGTAGCTATTTTTTGTACTAAGTTAATGTAAAAGTATATAGAACCATATATTTTTGGAATCAGTGTCAAGTAAACTATCAAACAATACCGGAAGTAACATCTTTTAAACCGGAAGTAAAAAATTATCTCCCTTATTTATATCTTTTTGTATAAAAAACATATATTTTTGGAATCAACGTACAATAAGCTGTCATTTGACGCGGAAATTGACATTTAAAACAAAATTTTAATATTTTCATATCAAAATAGATCCTTACTGGTGGAAAGACCTTCAATTGTTCTCTGAACAATTGGTTTTTAATTCTTTTTGTTTTTTTTATTTGTGAAGACTGTATTGCAGCTTAGTCATTTGGATAGCTGTCTTGTCATCTTATTCGTAGATCTAATTTTGTTGAACATTTTTGTCACTTAAAGTTTCCCTTCATCTATTATACTTTCTTAAAAAAAACTTGAAAATTTAATTTTAAAAAAAATGCGTTTCAAGCCAATAACTCCTATAAGGGATAAATTTACAATTTCGGTCAGTTAACTTAGTTAACTGAGTTGTAGATCTCAACTTGCTGGCCATTTTTGCTGTTCAAATTTTCTCTTTATCAGCATTTAAGATAATAATAAAAAAAAAAAAACAGAGATATTTCGTAAAATTTATAATTCCAGATGCAATAACTGCAAATATGGTTGTCCAATTGGTTTGAAAAATTATGTGGCAGATAAATCTTAACATGCTTATCATTTTTATCCTTATATGGTGATGTTGTAATCAATCTATTTATTTGTACCATCTTTATATAATATTGTATTGTACAATTTAAATTTATGATTCGTTTAATATTTAAATATAATAATTTATTTTTTATTAAAGATATAAACAAGGTAATTTGAAAGGCTTTGATTCATTTATCACCGTAGTTCAATTCATAAGTCAGGCAGTCTATTTTATCTACATTATTATGAAAGAACACCGGGGTGTTTACATTGGCATTATTTACTATCAATGACTGTGAAACAAGAAAGGAAAACATTGTACATTATAAAACGAGAAATAATTAAAATTAAATACAAAATTCTTGTTTAGTGAAATCAAAAACTAAAAACGGAAACCTTTTAGATTTTCATTTTGGATTTAGAGAAATCAAAAACAAAAAATGAAAACACTTTCGTTTTCCGTTTTGGTTTTAGAGAAATCAAAAACGAAAGATGAAAACACTTTTGTTTTCCGTTTTGGTTTTTGAGAAATAAAAAACGAAAAATGAAAACACTCTCGATTTTTGTTTTTTGTTTTTGATATTTCAAAATGAAAAACGAATGGACGCAAATATACACGGACCCGTACGGCCTTCAACAATGTAAATGTAAGCAGCCATGCTCAGTTAATTGTAGATATTAAATCAGATACCTTGTGTAGGGAGAATGTAGCAATTCACTCTTTCATGGTGCCATCAGTTGTATTTTGTAAGGCAACATTTTTTTTAAATTTCCGCAACTTTTATTTAAAACGGCCTCTATTACATAACGGAGATTGCAGTAGTTTCTAACTGAAGTCATAAAAAAATCAGTCTTCACACGCTCTTATTTTTTTAGATTATAATCCCAACGAGTGTTAATCCCGAATAACCGTAAAAATTTAGGCCCAATCCTAAATTCCCGGTATGATAATAGAACCTATATACAGTATTTATTGTTAACATGATTTCGTTCAAATAATGCATGAAATATTTGGCACTGGATGTTATTTCTCTTGTTCGTGTGTCTTTAGTGATGCTCGAAACCTAAAATTTATTAGAAACCCGGAAAACCAGTTTTTGATTTGAAGAGCTTTTAAAATATCAGAACTGTTGAAAAAAAGGGAAGTCAATTCTGCTGAAAGCCCGCCTTTGGATTAATATAAAAGGCATCATCGGAGTTTATTAGCAACACATAATTTACATAGTAAACGATTAATTCAGTCAAAAGTTAATTCATATGTTACATATTAAATTTGCAATTATGATAATCATTAACAACGGGCATTGAACAAACTAATGCTAATAAATTACTACCTCATCAACTGTTTCTTGATCATAGAATTGCCGTAAACGTTATTGATTTTATTTAGGACTAGGTTGGTTCCCTCCGTAAAATATCCAGTATGCCTTCGGAATGTCAAGAATTTCAATAACGGCTGGGTACCAGTCTAATTTAGGACATACATGTATTGGCGCTAAAAGACGTGAGACGTTCTGGCGTTTAACAGTGGACACGTTTTGGCGAATAACAATTATCGGACACGTTTAGGGGTTTTGAAATCGGACACGTTTGGGTCATATTGAATATTATGGACACGTTTGGGGAGAATAGACACGTTTGGGGGAATCGGACACGTTTGGGAGTGTTACATATGTTTCTGGGTTTTTACTCATTATGGCTTGCACGCGCTTTTATGTTTATGGGTTTTAATATTAAAACAATAAAATATAGTTTCAGGTATTGTGTTGTCTTTACAGATGTAAGGATCAAACGAGAACACAAGCTGAAACACAAGTTATACTCTTTCGATCTCTCATTTGTCTCTATTGAGAAATTATCAGATTTATACATAAAATACTGATTAATGCATAACTACAATTAATTATGATTTAATTAAATGATGTTTATTCAAACACCGTCATATCTAACAATCAATTATGATTTAATTAAATGATGTTTTACTATTCATACACAATCATTTAGGATTTAATTAAATGATGATTTCAAATTTTGTTATTGCATATTTTATCAACGGATTGTAATATTACGGTAACAATTCTTTTATTTTTCCTAATATATATATATTTAAAAAAATGAGGTGCCGAATTGTCTTGGTCCCGACATGTCCGGATCCCGAACTGTCCAAAATGGATGCCGAAATGTCTTCGGACTTGGGTGCTGATTTGTCTGGGTGCCGAAATGTCTTGTTACCGGACAGCACGTGTAGCCAAAAACTGGGAGTTGTAGATTTGTAGCGAAAATGTATATATGTAGTTTATAAAATAGAAAAATTAGATCAGAAATATAGTTATTAATTATTATAAAGCCAAGCGAGTAAAAACACGGATCTATCACATTATTCTCTATTCTATAAACCCCTATCAACACCCTCTTTATTGTCACTTTCGCCGTTAATTTTGACTTTTGTTTAAAATAATAAAATGCCTAGATCGTTTTCTGCATAGGTTTTTTAAACTCGAAACTTCTCCGGTTATTCATGAAGGCATTTTCAACTTTTCAATGTTTTACCTGGGATAGCCCCCTGTTTCCATTTCAGAATCGAATGAGATCGAATCCTTGATTGTTTGTTTACATTGAGTGGTATTTATAGATTGTGTTTATTGCAAGCACATGGTCGAGCCTCGTTCTTGATTTAGTTGGTGATTGGGTATATCGCGTTGACGACTGGTTCCCTTTGATAAGAAGGGGGAACATCCGTAAAGAATTTAATAGGGATACCAGTTAACGGAAGAAAACAAGGTCAGCGACAAATTTGTAACTTGTTTTTCATAGATTCAATAAAATACCGGCTACAATTTCGCAAACAATTTCAGATGTTCACAAGACCGGTCGGGCAAACACCAGTGCTTCTGCACAAGTCCGATGAGATTTTTACTAGACAGGGGCTTCGGGCTACCGCTTAACGTCGCAGACTGGGATATTGTAAGGTATTCTAATTTCTAAAGGTTTTCTGATTTCGTCCCCTTTCACCATGTTCACAGGAAACACCTGCTTCATATTACACTACATGTGATGATTAAAATAGTCTGAAACATGTTAACATTATCTGTATGTGTATCTGTATTGGTATGTGTAGAATCCTATTTAGGCTTTTATACACGGTGGAGAAGAGCACCTTGTTATGGGCGGTGTTCCTGTAGAGCGGTCTTGAATGCCTCTACAGAATCTGCATGCACAACTTTATCTGGCAGTTAACGTTAGTTCAAGTTTATAATTGTTTCCAAGAAGAATGAGTTTTTATATTGTGGCTTATTGCTGTCTGGCACTTTAAGTCCTCTGGTGTTGTTTATTATATGCCATTTATTATGTCTTCTTACATTCATTGATGTGATTCTTTTTAGTATTGCATTTGTACTTTATCAATAAAAATGATAAATTCTTTTAAAGATTAAGGCCAGTATTTCCTATTGCCCAGTTATCCCCCTGGGTTTTGCCAGTACTTCCCACTGGCTAGCCAATATAGCAATAAACCCTGGGTTCTTACAAAAACGTATTAACCCTGCAAAACTTTGGAATCAGTTTTGTTTTTCACAATTCAGTTTATCCCTTTTGCATGTGCAGAATTTATGGGAAATTCAAATTTTTTAGTAAACCACAGTTATTTTCTTTTTTGGCCTCAATTATGAAGCAAATGAAGAAGGTATTTCAACTAATTTAATATTTTTTGTTACAAAACATGTTTGACATTACAAAAATTATTCACTATGTAAAAATAAGTGATGACCTTAATAAAATAAATACTTCAATTTTGAAAAAAAATCTATAATTCTATTTCAAATAGATACTTATACGGAGAGTTCTTCCTCTTTAACAGGTAATATTTCCTTTATATTACCCGATTCTGTGTATAACAGTTATGAGGGTCTTCCAAACCTTTTCTACAGAGAATCATGACATAAGCAGATAAGTGTCTGTGATGTTCAACTCCACCGTGATCAAACATAATTCATAATTGCAGGAATGTCAAGACTTCAACGATTTAATGTTATTTCCTATATATTTGTTAACAGAAGATTTTATAGGATAAAACATGAATAGGAAGAGATTAATTATGCTATTTACCAGAAACTTTGCCAAGGACTTTTCTGGCAGTCGACATCGTGAAAAACCGGAAGCATGAAATGTTGACTAAAATTTTCTCTACACCGGATTAATCATGTTCTCATTTCGGATTAACTTGAAGATCAAAGTCAAGTTATGAAATAACGGACTATCACAAGCGTGATATTAGAGCTTGTGATTCAGTAAATAATTAAACTATCTGCAGTATTCCAATTTATCTGCCAGTATATCATTGCAAAAGTTGTTAGAATTCTCATATCCTCAAATTACAAGCAAACAGTATTAAGAGTAGACATCGGCACGGAATGTCTTAGGTAGGTTAATTTGTAATTGAACTTCAGTTTGTCAAGAGACATAATATAGTATTCAGTGACACAGCTTCCATTGATGCAGCTCATTATTTACAAGGGACAAAAGAAAGCAAAGAGAAGAAATGTGCAATTAGTATTTCGTAGATGCGGATCCAGGATTTTAATGGTTATAAATTACAAAAGCGTGATAGAGATCAGCACGACGGTGGTTTACTTACCCTGATTAAATCAGACCTTCCCTCCAGTAGAAAACAATGTTTTGAATCTGATAAACTTGAAAATATTTGCTATGAAACTTATATAAATGATGCCAAATATTATGGGAGCTGACAAACCTCCATCCATGAAAAATGATGACTTTATTGAAAATTTTACAAAATCACTAGATAAATGTTTTGTGTCATATGAAAATATTATTATTTTTGGTGACCTAAATTTTGATATGTTGTCTGCTGAAACATCTCAGACTTTACATGATATATGTGATATTTTCAACTTGTCACAACTGGTTAAAGGTCCAACATGTTTTAAAAAGGGTTGTAACCCATCCCTTGTGCATGGATGTTATTATTACAAGTAAAAAGAATTTGTGTTTTAAAACAACAAATAGTCCAAATGGTGTTAGTGACTGTCACAATATTATTTCTACAGTTGTGAAAGGGAATTTACCTGCACAAAAATGCAGGGACGTAACATATAGAAGTTACAAAACTTTTGATATTGACCAATTTACAAATGATTTACAGAAAATAAAGATTTCAGAAAACTGTACTGAGAAAGATTTAAATAGTATTTATGATGATTATGAAAAAGATTTAAAAAATATATCAAATAAACATGCACCTGTCAAATCTAGGTGTCAAAGAAGAAAACCACTGCCATGTATGAATAAAGAACTGAGAGGGGCCATATATAGAAAACAAATACTTTATTCACAATATACTAAAAAAACCGGAGTGACAAAAACTGGGAGAAATTTAGAAAACAAAGAAATTTGGTAACTAAGATAAAGAGAAAATCAATAAAAGTATACTTTTTAGAACGTTGCTCTGGTGGGAAAACAGTAAAACCATTTTTCTTAAAAAAGGGGAACTGTGGAGAACAAAAAATCTTATTGTGTGAAAATGACAAAATTGTAAATAGTCCAAATGAAGTTTCAAATGTTTTTAATAATTTTTTCCCCACAGTAGCAGACAAAATTGGAGCAGATGTGGTATATGACCCCTCAAATCACCAAAGTATAAAAGAAATTTTGAGTAACAGAAAGCATGTTTCTGACTTTGAATTTAAGAAAGTACCTAACGAAAATGTCAATAAAATATTGAATAAAATAAACACCAAGAAGGCTACAGGAGCTGATGGTATTCCAGCAAAAATAGTAAAAAATTGTAAATCTTATATTGCACCACAGCTGACAACTCTTGTAAATTTATCAATTGAAAATAACTGTTTCCCTGATAAACTTAAAGAAGCCCAAGTGACCCCCCTTCATAAAAAGAGTGACTCATTATTAAAAACAAACTATAGACCAGTTAGTGTCTTACCCATATTTTCTAAAATCTTTGAAAAAATATATGAAATTCAACTAACTGAATACTTTGATAAAATATTTAATCCTTTTTTGTGTGCATTTAGACGTGGACATAGATGTCAGACCACACTTCTCAGAGTGTTAGAAGATTGGCGTGAAGCTCTTGATAAAAACCAGTACATTGCAGCGGTATTAATGGATCTTTCTAAGGCTTTTGACTGCCTGCCTCACAATATCTTGCTAGATAAATTATCAGCATATGGTGTATCCCCCCATGCAGTTGCTCTTTTAAAGTCCTATTTATCTAATCGTAAACAACAAATTCAAATCAACAATGTTCTGAGTGGTTGGGCTGACATCCATAAAGGCGTACCACAGGGTTCTATACTAGGGCCATTGTTGTTTAACATATTTATAAATGATATTTTTCTTTTTGTTAAAAATGGTAGTTTATATAACTATGCAGATGACAATACTCTGTCTTTCTGTACTCCAGGTTTTGATTTATTAATTTCAACTTTGGAATCTGAGTCAAAAATACTTATTGAGTGGTTCCGGGTGAATAAAATGCAAGCAAATCCCGACAAGTTTCAAGTTTTGGCTGGTGGCAAAAAGACCTTCAAAACTCGAATCTTACATGTGAAAAAACAGTAAAATTATTAGGCATTGAAATTGACTATCAGTTAAATTTTGATGTTCATATCAGCTCAATCTGTAGGAGGGCATCACAGCAATTAAATGTTTTAAAACGTTTGGGCTCAGTTTTGGATAGACTTAGTAAACTTACTATTTTTCATACTTTTATTCTTAGTAATTTTTATTTTTGTCCTTTGGCATGGCATTTTTGCACTGAGAAAAATTCCAAAAAATTAGAAAAGGTGCAGGAAAGAGCACTCCGTTGTGTATATGAGGATTTTACCAGCCCCTACGAGGACCTCTTACTTAAAGCTAAGGTGCCCTCCTTGCAGATCAGACGGATTAGAACAATGGCTCTAGAAACTTTTAAGATTATAATTAATATAGCTCCTGTGTGCTTACAAAATTTGGTGAGTGTCAAAAATCTAAGTATTCTTTCAGGTATGTAAATATTCTGGATATTCCACAGGTAAAGTCAACCCGTTACGGTAAAACATCTTTCAAATTTGCTGCCGCTACTTTATGGAACAGCCTTCCAAACCATTTCAGGACTGAAAATAGTTTTTCACACTTCAAAAGTCTTGTTCAGTCCTGGAACGGTTTGGAATGTCGCTGTTCTGCTTGCAGATAATTCTTGAGATGTTTATTATTTATGTTGCTTTTGCATGGTTGCTGTGGTCTAGCATGTTTTATTTCATTTTAAATGTGTTGCTAAATTTTTATTGCATGCTATGTAAGTGAGATTTAACTTCGTATCACAGGTTGTTTTATATGTCAAATTAGACTGTTTTTATGTTATGTATATGTTTTTATATTCGGTCTAAAGCTCCTTAGAGCTTGTGTTGTGTCTTTTAACTTATGCCGAATCAAAATTAAGTTTTCTTATCTTATCTTATCTTATCTTATTTTGAAAAAAGGGGGCGGGGCACCCCCCTAAATCCGCTTCAGCTCAGTTTAAACTTTAGATTGAAAGATTTTTTCGGCGGTTTGACAAATGAATAAACGTAGATACAGATATCTTGGTTAAGCAAAGAACAAATAATCATGTTATAAATACCTATCAAACAAAAAGATCTGCAAAACTGACATCATTAAGAGTAAATATCTCCCAGTTGAAAACGATATTCCACAGCTTGTCTTTTTATATATGATTGTCGTTAACAGGAGTTACTGCTTCAAATGAGAAAGCTGCTTAACCACGGGTAATCATCACTTGATTTACTAACGCCATCATGATTTTATCACTTCTGTCACTTTTGGCCAAGAATATTTAAAAAAATTGTCGTAGCCACAACCCTGTCTTCTTATATAACGGATCTTCAGTAAACAGCGTATGCATATCCTTATATAACGGATCTTCAATAAACAGAGTATGCATATCCTTATATAACGGATCTTCTGTAAACAGCGTATGCATATCCTTATATAACGGATCTTCAGTAAACAGCGTATGCATATCCTTATATAACGGATCTTCAGTAAACAGCGTATGCATATCCTTATATAACGAATCTTCAGTAAACAGCGTATGCATATCCTTATATAACGGTATTTCAGTTAACAGTGTATGCATATCCTTATATAACGGATCTTCTGTAAACAGCGTATGCATATCCTTATATAACGGATCTTCTGTAAACAGCGTATGCATATCCTTATATAACGGATCTTCAGTAAACAGCGTATGCATATCCTTATATAACGGATCTTCAGTAAACAGCGTATGCATATCCTTATATAACGGATCTTCAGTAAACAGCGTATGCATATCCTTATATAACGAATCTTCAGTAAACAGCGTATGCATATCCTTATATAACGGTATTTCAGTAAACAGTGTATGCATATCCTTATATAACGGATCTTCAGTAAACAGCGTATGCATATCCTTATATAACGGATCTTCTGTAAAAAGCGTATGCATATCCTTATATAACGGATCTTCAGTAAACAGCGTATGCATATCCTTATATAACGGATCTTCAGTAAACAGCGTATGCATATCCTTATTTTAAGCTTCCATAAAACGACAAATATTTTCATTATAATAGAACTTTTTCAAAATTGTTTGCATTAATTTTTCTACATCAAAGCTTTATATGCCGAATCAATACATTTATGAATGCAACATAATGCGCATAGAAAATATAACATTACTAGTATTTCAAGTCCTTATTTCATGATACATGTAAAAGTTCAACAAAGTTTAATTCTATAGGGAATCATTTATTGCAAGTGTTTGGCCAATCAAAAGGGCAAAAAGAACAAAGATATAGAAAACGACATGACACACATAATCCTAAGATGGAAATCATAATTCCGACTGTGTATAGTTAAATTTATACTCCATGTTAAAAGCTAATCTGAAAACTTATTGTAAATTTATAATTTAATACATCTGCAAAAAGGAAATCTTCCATGATAAAGTGACTGTTTAATACAGTGTCCAGGGTAAATAAGGGAAAACTAATATGATAACCTTGAATTTTGCGGCAGTAAACCAATGTCGGGTGGTTGCGTCTGTTAAGCTTTGTGACATCAACTTATAAATATCCAGATACTTCTAATCAGAATGGGACATTAAATCCGATCC